ATTTATTAATCGATGAATTAAAAACGTAATTTGATGTCATGTTTGTATATACTCACGTAAGTATGCGACAGTAATTCTTGCATAATGTAATTGTCGTAGATCCTTCGAGCAGTATTTCTTCTTTCTTCGGTATTTTCCAATTTCTCGTAGGTTTTAATCTACAATGTACGAATACGAAATTCCTTTATGCAGTCGGATTAGTAATGCGTGATACACTGAAATTTAATCAAATAGTGTGTAAAATTAAAAAAAAAAAAAAACAACGAACCTCTTCGTAAAACCTGAGATGCGAAATTACGTCCTCTGTAGTCTCACAGAATTGTTTAAACAGAAGATAGCCTGGAAATATATATGGAGTTTGTTTGATATCAGCGAATTTTTAATAAATTTAATAAATCACACCTCTCTCGTTATATCGTAATGCTGTACTCTCATTAAAAAAGATAATTGACGACAAATAAAACCGTCTTAATTGGCATGGACCATGTCAAAGGAAATCAGATTTTTCCAAATCGTATCAGGCCGGTAATTAAATCATACAATCCCGTCACTTCTATGACGGGAAATCGAATGTATTATATCGAATCACATTGTTCGTGATAAATTTGCGAGATAAAAATTCATTTTGACGATCGAATTAATATCGTGCATGAAAACATTTAACGCTCAATAAACACTTAATTACCGATTCATAAACGAGAGACAGATGGTTCCCGCCTAAGCTTTTGCACGGACGAATATTCACGCTCACGTTTATCGCGTTAGGTTGATGAAAAAAAATCTCCGGAATACGACACGAAACAAATTGCGAGAATTAATCTAGTAATTGCGGCTATGTTTATCCATATGAATAGCACGCATGCATTTTAGATGACTGCGACGATTCGAGAGGGGAAGAGTGAAAACGAATAGGGGATTATATCTACATGTAATCAGATCGATTACTGCTGAACAAAGATAAAAACGTAGAGAGAAAAGAGTTTTCCTCGCTGTTTGCAACTGGGCAATTAGATTGGGCGAGTTGGGCGAGAATTTACGAACTAAATCTAAGCCCTCCCTTTGTGATCTTTGATCTCGAGTCAAGGGGGCGGGGAGAGGACGGAAACTGACAAACGAAGGGTGGGCCATCAGAGCGATAAGCTTACTCACCAAACATTTGATGAAATATTTTATCAAAAGTTGTCTCGTTGTTCTTCTCCAAGTACTTGTGCATCACGCTGCGAACGCTAAAACAGAAAGGATCGATTTTCCTCATTAGAAGTGGTTTAACGTGGTCCAATCCGATGACGACGATTCCTTTCTGAAAAAACGAATAAAGGCAGAAGGGGAAAAATGCAGGCGTGATATACAGGTACGCGTGAGGATATTTCTCGTTGCGAAGATCGTAGGGAGACTCGCACGGGAGAGGTCTTTGAAATTTCCGGAGAGATCCCGGGCCAGAAGCCGGCAAAATCCGATCAGTTATTCCATCAAAACGTCACGTTGTCGACGTGAAACCCATCGAAAGTGTGCACGATGCGTTTCACAGGGAAATATATTAGCGCGCCCGGTGACTCGAAATCTCGATTTTCATCATTTCTCCGCCGCCGTCGCCATGCTGCGCCTCACATCACGGCGAAATTGATCAATATGTAAAACGACGGAATTGCCGCTCGTCGTGTCATCGATACATCCCGCCCCCCCCCTCTCCCCCCGGGCACGTCGAGCGGGGCGCGAACTCGCACTCGAATAACAAAGCGCTGTCTTCAATTTCCCGATGGGCGATAATGATCAATTTGACAAAATACAGGCGCGCTCTCCACCTCCACCTCTTTGCTCTCCAATTATCCTAAAATGATCTGCGGCGTGTGTGATATGCCACATGAGAGTCGAGAGCACGTGGGCGTGCGACACGAGAGAGAGTTCGTCCCGTGCAGAGGCAATAAATAATTAAAATCGTGCGCGTGCTTTTTCATGGCTCACAGATTATATATTTTTTCATCAGGCGCCGCCTATAATGAAGTGAGAGGTCACAACGACCGAGGGGATGAATGAATGGATCTAAAGGGATCCAATTATGAAATCTTGATTTTGACAAAAAATTTAAATAACTTACTAATTTTTTATTACAACAACAAATTGTTTTTTTTTTTTTTCATTTTCTTTTTTCCACTAGATCATATCGTTTTCATCACTACAGGGCAATCAACACGCATCCATATGTGACCGATATATCGAAGAGACATCAATTTTACCTTTATTTGCGCTAATCTTTGGAAAAAGGACTCAAGTAGAATTGTGCCTTTATTCCAGTCATCCCCTCAATTAGTCATCATAAGTTATTACGTTATTTAGGAAGATATTATTTCGATATGTGAACGAGTGAGATTTGCCCGACCGCGGTGACTTTTCAATACGGATAAGAGCCGAAGAACTCTTCTTGTCTTCCGAGCAACATTTTTCAGAAACCGGTTCATACGAAATATCGTATGTTACACGGTGTGATGAGCTCGATCACTCTTGTCTCCGATCGCTCGGCCGACGAGGACTCGGGACATTAATTTAATTCTGGCGTTCGAATCCAATTGCCGCGTCATGAGCGCGAACGCTTGCGTAAATGCCCGATAAAAAGAAAGGGGAAGAGGATAGAAGAAGAGGGGAGAAATGCCAGACTTAGCTGCGGCATGGAATTAAATCGGGCATCGTAAATCGCCATTATCCTCGCGCAGATCCGCGATCAATCGCTTCATGATGGATGCACCGGCGGCGCAACTGGCGGCGGCTATTTCAGCCATTCGAATCGACTGGCTCGAAAAATGGCCAGGCTATTGAAAAGAGGCACTCGTTGGAAAGCGAGCCTCTGTGATAATAAGAAAGTCGTAATCGACGACTCTCGAGCAGATAACGTTAAAGGGCGTGTGCGTCAAAGAGCGCGCTTCTCTGCGCGGCGATATTTCCTGCAACGCGATTTATTCTCGATTTATACCAGGAGATTCGGCGAGAGATAAGATAATCTGTGATGTCTTAGATTAATTCTGTCTTAAAAAAATAAAAAAAAAAAAAAAAATTGAAAGTAACTGAAATATTTCATTCTTATAGCTTCGCGACGGTTAAATGTTTCGTTCTATTTCTTTTTCTTGCAGCGCGGACTAATGATCGAACGGTCGTCACCGAAAATTTCTCTGTCATTAGAGACAATCGGAATACCCTACTTCGATCCATTACGGAATTTTGGAGTTTTTACGTCGACTTTAGGATCGATCGCAATAATTAATCGCATTTGCGCCTCCGTCGCTCCGTCGCTTCGATCCGTCCGCGGTATCGATTTTTCGCTTCTCCTCTCGATTCGCTCCTTTTGCGCGCCTTTCTAACTTGGCGAATACATAATTGAGTTCGCGACTTTCCACCTACCGTGGATTTCTTATTTATGCAATAGCACCTCGAAGGCTGGTCGCCATAGAGATATCAAGGGCGCCGATTTCTCGCGCTAATTATACAATCGGAATCACCGAGCGAATCGGCCGGCGGCGCGGATTTTTAATTTCGCGATCGCGCAACACCTAAATATTACGGAGAAAACGAAAAAGAAGAAGAAGAAAAAAAAAGGGAAGAAAGACACGGAGCGTTTCGAAAGTCTCGAGGAGTTATTATGCAAAGCGGCTACTTATAAAACAAATATTGAAATTTATTCTCGAACGCGTTTCTCGCCACGTCACATCTACTTTTATTTCGCGCTGACGCAAAAGCGCGTTTTATCATTTATATTATCATTTGCTGGTTCTTCAATCTCCATAGCTGCGTGATTATTCATCGCTAAATTAATGCTGCAATTTATACGTGCGTTATTACGAGGAAGTAACCGCGGCTTCTCAAGAAACTTTGAGAACTTCAAAAAGAAAGCGCCTGCGAGCTTATCATGATGAATGATTTGAGATCTGATCACGCGATCTCTATTAAGCTAGCTTCTTCTTACAAAAAACAGAAAATATATCTGTGCAAAAATCAACTGCCTTTTATGTGCCAATTATGTGCTCTATTCTCGGTTTTCATGTTCAGCAGTTGAACAAAAAATCGTAGTTGAAATGATGGGGATGCTAGCTTCGAATAACACAAGTTGATCGAAATTACAAAAAAAATTAAAAAGTTGATGGATTAGAATTATGTATGCTTTTTATATATTTACTTTCAAAGATTTAACAGAATTGAGTCTATCTATAATAGCTTCGAAGATACAGGCACGAAAATCAATATGCAGAAATTAAAAAAAAAAAAAAAAGACGACCAGAATCTCTCGTCCGAATTCGAAATCATTCGTTCATAAACTACGATATGTAGTCTGCATGATTTCTTACGGACTTCTTTCTTTTCGAGCGACGAAAATTATTTAAAAAATAGACAAATATTTGAATAGAACTTCTCGGAAAACGAAGAATATTCAGAACTACAAAATTATAGAACGGTTTTGAAATTTACGGAACTGCGGAGAAACTGGCCAACATCTCATACGTAGACTTATAAAAGTCACATTTTTTGAGCGATAACAATTACTTAAAAGATAAATAAACCAACGTTTATGGACTCCTCGAAAAGTGTTAGAATATATTGAGAGTTGTACGAAAAGAGTTGCTCTAGAACTGACAGAATTCTGTCAAAAAAAAAAAACCATTCTCCCATATAAATACAAACGCATTTTTCGAGCGAAAAATTCATTAAAAATTAAATTAGTAATACTTTTCGTCAGAATTTTTCCTAGAACTCATATAAAATTCATTATAGAGCTTATCCAAATCTTTCGAAATCTAGTGATGTGAATATCAGTGGAACTCCAGATAAAGTGAGACAAATCTAGAATTTTATTTTGTTCTAAGGTGTTTTTGTGCTTTAATGGCCAGAACTTTTTTATTTATAATTTATTTTTTGTTGTAAAAAATTATTGAAAATGAAATCGGGATTCTCGAGAATTCTATTCAAATACTAAATTACACACACGCACTCGCTACCAATTCCTAATATAGTTTATCATTACGACGACCATTCGACAAGAGACAACGGTGAGGAAGGAAAGGGAAGAAAGGACAAGAGTCCTTGAGTCGACTTCAGAAAGCGCATTTGTTCCTTCCTGAATGTGTATGTAGGTAGCGTCGTTCTATCAAATTCTAGAATTCTAGAATTTATGTGAAAGAATAAAAATGAAAACGTCTCGAGTGTGTCGATAAAGTTTCATTTCCTTTAATGAATTAAAACCATAAAGAAAAACCATAAAGAAAAGGATGCGATTAAACAGTCGGGTCCTTGGCATTTTGAAGAAAGTATCTCGACGACGCGCTGGGGTTTATAAAGCTGGACTGACGTAAACACGAAAATTAAGTGATGGAGCTCGGGTATAAAGACGCGGTTGGGTATAAAGTTCGATTCGGGTTCAATTTCTGGTAGCCAGAGAGAAATTAATCCACGGTAGATGGAACACGCCGAGTATCGAGCGGGGGTGAATGAGCTTTGCAACCGATCAAAATAAATCCGTGTTTTCAGCGATTGGTTGGAGCATCGCCAAGCGTCGCGTGATATCCAGCAACGGGCAGGTTTTCACTCGTTCGGATCCATGTTCGACGTCGAACGATGAATTCGAAATCGAGCACAATGTTACGCGATTATGGAAAAAGGACACGAACAGCCGTTATGTAAATCTGTCCGAACATCAGAATCCGTTAATTGATTTTGAATTGCCCAAAAATGCAGAAAAAAAATGTGTGTGCGTGTAGATATATGGTTTTCAACAATAAAACTTCCCTGTTATTATTTAAATGTCATTTCCCAAATATTTAATTAATATTTACTCAAATATTTAATTAATATTTGCTCAATCATTTAATTTCAGAGAAATTTGTTTCTTACGTCCTATATTTTTAGACATTTTAGACATGAAAATTAATTATACCAACTTTAATCACATAAAATTAATTATATATCAAAAATTTTATTAATTGTTATCGTATATTAACTGTTTTCGAGATATTTGAAAATTTTAAATATTAATTTAAAATTTCTCATTATATATGTGCAAATATAGATCAATATTTTTTCTGAACTCAAGACATTTATCTGTATGATGGAAAAAATTAAACACTTTTAATTTATAATTATAAAGTAAATATTTAAGTTTTATAAAAGTTTTATGTAAATTTAACCTTATGAAGTAAACCTTGTATACTGTATTGACTATCAGCGCATTTAAAACGCTCATAATTTTTTCTAAACGTTTTGAAGCAAAATTAAATTTGGTTATATGTTAAATACATAGTATTTAAAAACGATAATTTTTAATATAAACATTTATTATTTATTTTAACATAAACAACATGTAACATAAAAGTACATGTAATATTCAATCTAATCATGTTAATTTGTCATATTTATATTTCGACCAAATTCGAGCATTTTACAATTTTTATTTTGCTTATAAAAAATTTAATAACATATAAAGTTAACAACATAATACAGAATAATATTTACAATTCAAATATAGTTAATATTATTTTTATATTATTAAAATATTTTAAATATTTTTAAAAACAAACTATTAATTAAAAAGTAACGTTAGATTCTTAATTAAAAATTACGTCAAATAAAACGCTTAACGTTAAATTTCACGTAAAACTTCAAATTTAAATGCTTTGATCATCGTGTTTTGAATATAGAAATCAATTAAGAATCAACCTGAAATTATTCAGTAAAAAAAAATAAATAGAATTAACCATAAACTTCCACGAAAAGTCAAACTTAAAATTATATATCTCAAAACAAGTTTCGATGCGAATTCTTCCGTCAAATTATAATCAATCAACACAATAATCATAATCATAATAAATCAATACAACGTACGTGAGTGTGAAATCGATCGTAAAAATTCATCTATCAATTTCTTTCCGATTAATCATTTTCCTAGCAATTATAAATATTATTCAACGTCGGCATTGTCGGCAACATTTCAGTAAATACGAATATTACGAACATCTGGGAATTTAAATTTACGATCGGAATTATGAGACCACTCGATTAGCCGCACGCAATTTCATTTTAAACAGCAGTCAAACAGCAACCATGAGAGTTTTTGGTTTGCATCGAAATTTCGCAAAAATCGCACAAACCGCACTCGGTGGCGTATTTCTGTATTTTGCGATTCAAAAATGACACTGAAACTTCCCAGGGTGCGTCGCAGTAAGTGCGTGTGTGTGTGTGGTGGGGGGGGGAAGTGTGAGAGAGAAAACAGAGGAGAAAGAAGTTTATAAAGAAGTTGAAACGCAATTGCCCGTTCGGTTGCATCGGTCGACCGCGCGCAATAAAGTCAAGCTGCAACGCTCTTACGGTCGTTTACTTATTTCCGTAAAGTACACATCTATGATACGCTAACGCTTACTCACGTCACTTACTTAAGCCGTGTGTGCATCAATCAAAACAATTGATATTTTTCCCGCAGCGCCGTGGATAAAAATTAATTGCCACGGAATGCCGGAGACACGCCTATATCCCGTTGACGTTTCTCTCCCAATTCTATTTATGAAAAAGAAAAAAAAAATCAAAGTGAATCACACACCGTCTCGTAAGCTGCATAATGGCTGTTTCAGCAATAATTTCAATAATTAATGCAATAATGTTATGTACTTTCGTCAACGTTTTCCTTGTTTTGTCATAATCCTTGTTGCCTCGCTGCAATAAAAAAACCGATTCTAGAATTTTTTTTCTTCACGTAGCACGGCCGATCGCGAATCTAGTTATCGTCAAAATCGGCATCGCTTGGAAAAATAAAGCGTTGCGGAATATAAAGGAAAATATTATTTCGCGTTATGCAATGCATGTGGAATCGAAGAGGCGATATATGACTCTTTTGTGCGTGCAGACTGGGATCTTTAGTGCTCCGACTACATTAGATTCCGAAAACTATCATTCTGCCGTTAGTGTTGTCGGAATGAAAGGTCCCATTCAGCATATCGACAAAGAAACCATGTCTCGGTGTGTGGCGTGATAGACATTTATATTCTCCGATGCCAATCCCAGCTTCGATTAAAACGCGATTTATCCTCGTGTTGCATAAGATCCTCGTGTTGCGGAAGCGCGTTGCATTAATCATTTCTAAAGTTGTTCGCCTCTTAGGCTAAATCGTGAACGCAATTAAAATCATGTAAACAAACGAGAGAAAAAAAGAAAGAGAGAGAAGAAGGGAGAGGAGGGAAGGGGGGGAAAGGACTTAGACCCTCGTATTTCCCTATCAGCCTATTATCCGTTTCCGTCTTTACTACCGTCGTATTCCACGTACAATTTGACGACAGGAAAATTACAATTTGTCCCTAAAAGTGGCTTCAGATTAACGAACGAGCACCCGAGCGCGCTCTCGAGTATCCCTTTTAGATCCGCGACAGAAAAGCAAATTCACCCCGACAAACTCTTATGAGTCTTTCCTGGGCTTCAATCTCTTGCGTCATTACTCCCCGCCTTTCATCTCGGTTTAATTGCAATCTTCTTTTCTCTTTCAATGTGAGCAGGGTAGGTTCACAGTTGCCATTCAGGTATCTTTGTGAAATTGGCCCCACTTTCTTAGAGTTTGAAAAAAAAAAAAATAATTTCCCCCAAAGAGTCCTATCGATTATTTTCAACAGTCGTAGCGTTAAAATTAAAAATAAAAAATTATAACTTTGAAGTTTCGGAGCTATGAAATTCTCCCGTTCCCTATCTTTAAATATGATTTTAATCGTTTCGATCAACAGAACTGTTTCTGAAACTGATTGAGAATTCTTCTAGAATTCTTTGGGAGTGAGGGAAGAGAATGGTGAAGACTCAGAATTCTCAATGGAACGCCAGATTTCTGAAAAACATTCAATCCTGTAAACTTAGAAAATGTTTGCGTAACTTTAAAAAGTGTCAAAACTTTTTCTTTGCCAATTTTAGAGTTTCGATTGTTAAAAATAATCGATAGAATTCTGAAAAGCTGTTAGAACTCTCAATAAAACGTTGAATTTCCAAGAAAACATTTCACTCCTATAAACTTATAAAAACTTGAAAATTCAGAAGATTATGAAATTCTAATAAAAGATATTTTCATATAAAAGATATTTTGATATTTAATATAATATTTTTGTTTGCTGTCCGAATTCAATCTAAAAGAATTAAATCATCAAATTGATTCATCTTTTGTTTTTATTTTATTATATAAAAAAAATAGAATAAAATTTTATAAAGAAAATTTATTTTTGTAAGAGATTTATCTGTCAGAGAAAATATCAATTGTTTAAAAAATTAAAAAACATATAAACAATAGCGGGAGAAATATATATCTTTTTCGACACAATTTTTCTACAATGCTTTATAATACATTAATGTATATTATACTTATATAAAATAATATAAATCTATAAATACATAAACAAGTACATAATAATTGAATTAATGGATACATTCTTCACATATATCGGCAATAATTACGAAAAGTAAAAAAATTACAGTTCTTTCAAAATTATGAAATTGATCATTCTATATCTTTATATGGTGTTTTAATCGCTTTAGTCAATAGAACTCTTTGTAAAATCGATTGAAAATTCTGGAATTTTTCAAAGGGCAAAACTGTTCATTTCTTTCAAATTCTAAGAAAATGAAACCAATTTCACAGTGGTCATTTGACGGTTGAAGATACATTGTGACACTGACAAAAAAAACGGTACATGTAACAGTAGATGGGGTTTCCACTATTTATGGTGACAGTTATGTGCACGAATGTGAATGTAATTTTGCGTGAAAAGATAGGCGATGTATTTCCATTGTATGGCTGTCAAGAATGGCTTCACGATTCGTTGATTGCGTTTCAGAATACATTTATTCGTTTATATAGAATTATTATATAATACTCATTTCTTGCCATATATTTACTGCTATCAATTTTCATGCGCTCAAAAATCTTATCTTCTTTTACGTTAATAATGACTTCCATATTAAAAATGTTTCTATTCGCTTAAATTACGTCTTCAGTACAACTAAAGTCATTACGACAGAAAAGAAGAAGCGTACGGAGCTTGAAAGTGAAGTTGCAGAAAACCACCTAGATTTCTTCGGACTTCTTCCAAGAGAAGAGTCATCGTTGCGAGTTTATAGCTCATACCTCACATAGACATAATTATTTAATGTTTATAAGAAAAGTTCGCGGTAGGAGCTTACAACGTCTGTGACTTTCACATTTATTTACTCCCTTTAAAAGCCGTTTTCACGCCGAGGCAGACATTTTTAATATGACGCTAGCGAAAGATGACGCAATTGCCCAGTACGTTGATTGCTACCTTTAATTACATCCGGGACCGCAGTTTCCAACGATCTACGTTCCTTCCGGGAATGCTGCAGCTTCTTTTCGCTCATATGCTTGCCCGGAATTATACCTTTCTGCGCGTGAAAAAGGGATAACTGTTATCCATTCTGAATACCGAGAGAGGAGCGAGTGGTATTTTATCGATCTTACCTGAGCCAATCAACCGATCCCGATGACACTGATAGATAACGCTAATATTGTTTTGCGCTTGAATTCTTTCAACAAGAGAATAAATAAAATTCTATTTA